CCAGCGGGCTCTGTGATGACGGCCATATTGCTTCCCCTACAGCATGTCTGCTCCGGCGGTGCCAAGTGCATTCCTGCCATCAGCCGTGCTCTCTGCTCTATCCTTCATGCTTCTGACAGGACACAGCCCACAGCCTATTTTGTTTATGTTGGTGGAGAAAAATAGGAAATAATATCATTTTTTCTGTGAGACAGAAGAATTTCAATCAATATGCCTGTGCATATACTACATGTACAGAGTACATGTATATAGATAAATATAAACTTATCTAGTGAACAACATATATACCACAGTTCATAATATTATAGTATATAGTATATATGATTGTATTTTTTTTCATTCTGTAATATATCACATATCACAGTATACAAAATGTAAATTGTAAATTGTAATGTATTAAAATATGTATAAAATATTTAGTATCTAATATACAGCAGTATTTATGATATATATACTCCAATCTGACACTTCTGAAGTGCAAGTTCTAACAACAGTTATTTTCCTCTAATCCCTTCCAAATGAGTGAAAAGCATAGGATTTCAGATTCTATGGTTATGATTTCACATCCAGCTCCAATACCTGTATCAATCCTGCCATTCCTCAGTGTATCTTTCTTTGATCTACGTGAAGGCAGTCCATCATCCTTTTCTCTTGTTTATCAGTTATAATCAGCCACAGGTTGATTATGCAAAGTCAAAAAGCCCAAGGCATCTGCTGATCCACATACGTGAGAACTTAGTACATTGTAACAGCTCATTTCTCAACAATTTCTGTACAGAGCTTGTTCTTCTCTTGCACCCTCTTATTTTAAAATGCTGTCTTTAAGAAACAGCTCAACTTTGCCACAGACTTGGCAAAGCTTGTTTTCACTTAGCTAATTTTGCTCACTAGAGGACTGGACTTAATTTTAAATGGATCTGTTGCACTAGGTATTTGAAAACACCATGGTGACAGTGTAGGTCACAGCTATCACCACAAAGGACTCTAGTTTATTTTCCACCTGTGAGCCACAGATCACAAGTGGTTTCATGGAAAATATATGCTTATGTATAGGAGTTGTGTCATGCAATGTCACCAAATAGCAAGCTTCTTCACAGAAAAAGATGTTCCATGGTCCAAGTGTGATTTGTTGATAATTTCCACATCTTCCTTCATAATGCTCTATTAGAATCACCAGAATCACTTCCTGGCAGGACAGATACAAGTTATCATGAAGAACTGCTGACTGGTTTTATGAAAGACAGCTGTTCATTCTACTACCAATTAGCTGTAGTTTATGTTAAATTGATTAGTAATTCTCTTTAACATTGTGTCTATTTAATACTAATTTATTATTCTCTTTGTAATTAATTCTTCATTCCCATTGTTTCATAAAAAGATTTGACTATAATGTAAATCTGATTTTGGTACTGTTGTATTATTTTAAGTATCAGAAAAGACTAATAAGTAGTTTTAAAATGCATGACTGGAACGCTGACAAGAAAAGATTAGTTGGGGATGTGAATGTTGAGGACAGCCTTGGATGTAGCAACCATGAGATAGTGGAATTTAGGATCCTGCATGGAAGAAACAAGGCAGTAAGTACAATTACAACCCTAGAGTTCAGGAGAACAAATGTTGACCTTTTCAACTTGCATATTTGGAGGTATGCTGTGGTTTAGAGCACTAGATACTAAAGGGGTCCGAGAGAGTTGGTTGACATTGAAGCACCGCTTCTTCCAAACTCAAGATAGATGCATACCTAAGAGCAAGAAATGAAGCAAAGGTGTCAGGAGACCCGCGTGGATAGGCAAAGAGCAAACGGAAAAACTCAATTAGAAGAAGAAAGCCAATGGAATGTGGAAAAAGGGTCTGGCTGGGAGGAACATAAGAAATTTGTCAGGGCATACCACAAGGAAGGCCAAGGCCCACTTCGAATTAAATCTGGTGAGGGAGGTCAAAATCAGCAAGAAAGGTTTATTTAAGTAAGTATATCGACAGTAAAAGGAAGACTAGGGAAAATGTGGGCCAGTTGCGGAATGAGTTGGCTGCTCTGGTAAGAGAAGACAATTAGAAGGCAGTCACTGAATGCCTTTTTTGCTTCAGCCTTTTGTGCAAGACTGCCCCTCAGGAATTCCAAACCCTGTAAAGGGAGAAAATTTGGGGAAAGGAAGACTTCCCCTTGATCAAGGAAGATCCGGACAAAGATTATCTATAGGCAAACTCAAGGCACAAAGATCCAAGGGCCCATATAGGATGCAGCCACGAGTGCTGAGGGAGCTGGCAGAAGTGATTGCCAAACCACACTCTATCATCTTTGGAAGGTCATGGAAAACGGGAGAGGTGCCTGAAGAATGAAGGACAGCCAATGTCACACCAGCCTTCAAAGAGGGCAAGAAGGATGAGCTGAGAAACTACAGGCCAGTCAGCCTCTGTGCCAGAGATGGTGATGAAACAGCTTATTCTGGATGCTATCCCCAAGATATTGGAATTAAATAAGGTAATCAGGAGTAGCCAACATGGATTCATCAAGTGGAAATCATATTTGATCAATCCTGTAGCCTTCTATGATGTCATCATCAGTTGAGAGATGAGAGGAGAATAATGCATGTTGTGTACTTTGACTTCAGGAACGTGTTTGACAATGTCTGCCACAACATCCATGTTATGAAACTTAGATAATGTGGAATAAATGAGTGACTGCTGAGGTGGATTGAGAACTAGCTGACTAACAGAGCTAGGAGGATTGTCATCAATGGTGTAGAGTATGGTTGCTGGCCTGTATTAGGTATTAGGGTATTGCCCAAAGAGTCAGTTCTGGGTCCAGTTTTGTTCAGCATCTTCATCAACAATCTGGATGAAGGGGTAGAGTCTACCCTCAGCAAGTTGCTGATGATACGAAGATGGGAGGATTGTCTGACACACCTGATGGCTGTGCTACCTTTCAACAAGACCTGGATAGATTGGAGATTTGGGCAGAGAGGAACCTAGCGATGTTTGACAAGAGCAGGTGTAGAGTCTTGCCCCTGGTGAGGAATAACTGCATCCATCAGTATGGGTTAGTGGATGACTTGCAGGAGAGGAGCTTTGCAGAGAAAGTTCTGGGGGGTCCTGGTAGGCAGTGGATTGGCCATGAGCTAACAGTGAGTTTTTCTGGCCAAGCAGGCCAATTATATCCTGGGGTGCATTAAAAAGAGCATGGCCAGCAGGTCAAGGGAGGGTATCCTACCCCTCTACTCTCTCCTGGTGAGGACATGTTCAGACCACTGTGTCCAATTCTGGACTTCCCATTTCAAAAAATACGAAGGTCTCGTAGAAGGAGTCCAGTGGAAGGCCAAAAGATGATTAAGGCCCTGAGCATCTCCCTTACAAGGAAAGGCTGAGTAACATGGGTCTATTCAGCCTGGGAAAAAAAGACTGAGAGGGGATGTGAGAAATGTTTATAAACACCAAAAAGGAGGTGGGAGACAGATGGATGAGGCCAAGATCTTCTTAGTGGTGTGTAGCAATAGGACAAGTAGCAATGGCTAAAACTTGAGCATACAAAGTCCCATACTAACATGTGGAAGATCTTGTGTATGGTAAGTGTGATGGAGCATTGAAACAGTGATTTGGAACAGGTTTTGTGATTTAATGAACAAGATCAACTCATTGTCTGATTAGGAGTACAAGAAATAGTAGGACAAGAACAATTTGCTTGGAGTCAAGTGCAGAGCAGAAGAAATGTTTCGTCTTTGCTTGTTCAGATGGGCACAAAAGTACTCTAATGAAACCATGTAACTTTCAAAATATCTTGTGTATGGAATCTATAGCCATAGGATTTCTGGTGATATAGGATTTCTGGTTCAGATGATACCCAAATCCAGATGATTCCCAAAACCTTGCGTCTTTGTGGTGCACATACAGTTGCAGAGTAGGCAGGCAGTTTTATGTCTTTCAGAGCACTAGAAGATTTGGCTTTTAGAGCCAAAGATCAGACATGCCCAACCTGCAGCCCATGGGACACCTTGTACTGCGGCCAACCCCCTGTCATGGCAGTGCCTCTTCCTTACCAAGAAGCCTGGCATGTCCTGAATATACTCTGAGCATGCACCTGTCCCTCAGCAACAACCAAACCATTGGTGGGCAACTGGGAGTGACTGGAGAGAAACCAGGACACAGAATGTGCACTGTTAACTCAAGTTATGACAAATAGTTTTTATGTATTTTGATATATTGATTAAACACAGTCTTGTGAACAGCAAAAAAAAATGTCTCGCTTTCTGTTTTGATGAATGGTTTTGACAACAGGTTTCAAGATTGCCAAAATAATAATTTTTCTGTATATTTGCAACTCCTCTCTCAGTTGACATATATTGCCTGTAAATTTTCAAAGTGAATGTATAGAGTTGCAATTAGATATTCAACTCAAAAAATTTTATTTTGTCTCCCTATTATACTTCTATCATACTTTACCAGATACCTATGTCAACAGAGAAAAAAATCCCTCGCTTCACAGTCACACCTTACTCATTTCATCATTACAACTTTTTTCAGTATATACATTTGTGAACAACTATTTTCAAGGATGTACAGGAAGAAAAAAATTTCTTCAAAAATCTCTGATGAGCAATAAGAATTGCAGTCACTTGCACTGCAACAATACTGATGCATTAGTTTCACAAAAATGTCGGATGTCTCAGTAGTTCTATGTGTTGCTCACTTTCTAATGTTTTAATTAAAATATACATAATAAACATTTTTACTTATATACATTAACTATGTTATATATTTTACCTGTGGTCAAAGACAGTTCCTCTTCTTTCATGGTGGACCTAGCAAGCCAAATGGTTGGACACCCACGCATTAGATGGTTTGGCTTTTAAAGAGAAAGTCACATTTAATCCTTGTTGTAATGGAAGTTGGTTATTCACTATGATTGCTCTTTGTTGCAAGATTTAGTTAGATAGGCCATCTTGAAACCCGATTACTGTATTCTGTTCGATAATATTGAAATTTGTTATTCTCACTACATATTTCAGAATAAGAGCCAAGGACTGAACTTTGTTCGCATTCATGCAACTTGGCAAGTACTTAGCCGAGAAGCGGAACTCCTTAAAATAAAAATGCCCACTAAAAAGGTAAATATCTTCCATTTTATAAAAACTAGTTTTTATGTCTGGAGGAAGAATGATCAGAAACACAAACGTTTTGAAGCTCTTAGAGGTACACTATTCTAAATCACTCCAAATGACATGTAATACTTATTCTTTCATTTTACTATTTTGGGATGATTTAGTTTTCAGAGTTGAATTTAAGATGGGAATTTCTGAGCGGATTTCAAAGGCCCCAGAGGCAGCTCGCTGGTAGACCATGTTCTGTAGAGTGACAACAGAGGAGAGTTTTGAGGAGGGATTTGCAGTTTAGAAGGCAGTAGCTATTCAGAATTTTGTCAAGGAACTTTCTTCAAAGGTGAGGTGCAGTATGTTACGATAGTGAAGGCATGTCTGTAGTGTTTCGGTTTTTACTTAACAGTTGTTCTCACCCAGTAAAAGATGCCCACACCTTAGAGAACTACTGTCCGTCTCTGTCAGGGATTTGGCCAAGCTAGTCTTGCATATTCTTTATTGTAAGAGTAAGATTAAACACAGTCTCCCTCAACAGTTTACTTATAGTCAGCCTCTGAAAATGAATAGGCTTTGGACAGCTACTATAAGTTGTCCTTTCTGCTTTTATACTTGTTTTTTTCTCAGTTGCAGAAATTGAATATTACCAGCTAAATAGAGCAAGCATGGCATGAAAATTCTGTTACTGTCTTAAAATTTTTGCAAAGACAGTCAGGAGATGACAGTCAGTGGGAAAAGACCTGCTTTGAAAAACTGAAACCTTGTATTTCAAAGATTTAGCAATAAAAAATGAAAAAACAAAAAATCAGCCATTAACAACAAAAGAAAAATGCATTTCTTTCTTTTATTTTAAAAGCACAAAATTTTTTTCTGTGATGTTATTTTTATTTATCCAAACAAGTAAAATCATAAATAAAGGATTTTCAGTGGAAAGTATTCATCTTTAAACATAATAAGTTGGTTGCAAAGAACTACTCTGAAACATTCAATTTTAAAACATCTTTCAGGACAAATGACATTCTGATGCTGAGAAAATTCAGCTACATGTGTAACTTCTGTACAGGACTGAACTGTTACAACTGTTACTTTTGATGAATGAGAATTCACCACACTGGAGCAAATTAGATGCACCAAATATTATTAGATGCGTAACAACTTCAAACAAGAACATAAATTCTCCAAAATCCTGTAAGTTAAAGAATGTCTAAGTTTCCAAGGAACCTAACTGCAGTCCTTGAAAAAACTTGAGAATGTGCTGAAGGTAGGGGATCAGATGATCTAAACATTATGGAGACTTAAGATGCTTAATTAAGGAATTGCCATAAAGCCACAAGCCAGGCATCCTCACTTTCAATGGTAGGTGTATGTGGGTGCTATGTATGAGAACTACTGAGTCACGGCCTGAACCTCTGGTTGATCACCTGAGGCAAGCACTGAGTCAGACAGAGAAGAACAGGTGAAGGCAATTCACCTGTGCTGCCTGGCTCCACCCCTCCTAGACCTATTGAAGAGCTAGCTACCAGTGGGGAGGGATCTCTTCTGAGATCTGCTCTGCTGGAGTTTTGCAAGTGAGCCCAGGATAGGGGTGAGCTTTCTGTTTTCTTTTTGTTATCATAATCTGCTTTGCTAAACTCTCTTGTGTATTTTGTAATTATAACATCTTAATATTTGTTTATTATACAGCCATTAGACAAAACTAGCAATTATTATCCAAAAATAACATTTATTCTTGGTAGTATCATTGACAGTGATTAAAATTCTTTCTTGCTTTGTCCCCCTCTATTTCCAGTTGCAGTTACAAAGTCAAAATCATTGCACTATCTTTCTATCATACCCTTGCAGCTTCTAGCTGAGAAGAGTTAGTAAGAGCTTTTCTTGTGCTATCACTTTTCTTCTGCAAGAAGCTTGTGTCCCTGGAACTGAAACCTTAGCAGATTCAGGTGCTTGCTCTTACATTAGAATTTATGTTAAGGTGCTTATTTTAAATATAGAATTATATATGTGGGTTATTATATATGGTGGGTTTTTCATTTTAGTGGGTTTTTTTTGGAAGTCATGTTCATATGAGACATTTTACTTACTCAGATGTACGAAATCAAAAAAGAAGAGGGAATAATCAAAAAGTTAAGTGAAATATGGTGCAAGTTGTCTGAACCTCTGCAACCCCAAGTGCCACAAGAAGATACCAGGATGAAAAGCCTGTCTTATCCATTTTCCAGAGAAAAAATGTATTTGTGAGTACCTTAAACTGTAAAGAGCAATGAATAAAACTAGGACAAATGACATAAGAGATTTTCAATCAAAAAGCAGAAATTTGTTAAGATTGCACCATTTCTGGGATTTCTATGAAAATGCGCATTAACACTGACATCAGTTTCAGAAGATTAAGAGAAATCTAAGTTGAAAAGAATTTTGTCAATGTTCTTCTTCCTGCTAAGTAAGGCACTTAAAGCAGTGCAAAAATAAATTAACTATGTTCTTATAATGAACTGTAGAAACATAGCAACAAATTTGTGGTTAACAGAATAGTAATATTACTGCTTGTTTTGAGACAAGAAATAGATATTAGATATAAATAGAAATGAGATATAGAAATTTGGAAATATATTTCCTCTTGCAAGATTTATTGTAGTATGAGACCTCTTCCAAGAGTAATACCTCCTATTATTATTATTATGTTGGCCCACAGAATCAGAAGCAGATATTAGTGGTATGGAAGTAAAGGTTGAAATTTCCCAACAATATTCCATTAAATTTTGTTGCCATAAGACAGACAGTGCAGTCTGACAAAATACTGTCTGTTGTGTAGGTGTGTATGAAACAGAAGTGTGAAAATGAATTCCTCCCTACGGAAAAAATTAAATCCATTGACACTTGCTGAACATTTATGAAGATGAAACAGTGTATGTCAGCACAGTGAAGATGATGAGTAGTGTGTTTCAGCAGAGGCAGCAGCAACATGAAACAGAAAATGTGTTCAGGGCAGCCAAATAGATTTTTACAAGTGCTGCATGCAGGCTCTTGTTCATTGCTGGCAAAAATACATAGTTAATGGCAGTGACTATGTTGAAAAATAGCATTTTGAATTTAAGAATTAATTCTATCAAATAGTGTCTCTGTGCTTTTTTAATTTATTGTAGCTTCCATGGAAATAAATAGGAGTTTATTTTGATCCAGAGTGACTACATAATTAAAGTTTGGCTAGCAATATGAAGATAAGAAATTCTTGACACTTTCTCTTTCACTCAGAATAATATATCTGGATGTTATATATCTCACCCCCCCAACCCCCCCTTTTTTTTTTTTTTTTCCTCATGTTTTTCCTTGGGTTTATGTGTGAAAAAACAAATTAAGTGAAAAATAAAACATATCATTTATTGTGTCCTCTTTGACAACTTTTATAAATGCAAAATACACCGAAAGTGAATTAGGGGAATAAATTGGGAAGGCTAATTTAACAAATAATGATTCCAGTGGAAGTGTTATTTTTAAAGCAAGTGAAACATTGACTGCAGAAGAATAATAAGCATATATATAGATTAGGCAAGTTAGAATGTCACAATTGCATAGGGTTGAGACTATTTTATAAAGACTGAAATGTCAGTTTGTCTAAACAACAAACATTCTATAGTAAGCATATATATAGATTAGGCAAGTTAGAATGTCACAATTGCATAGGGTTGAGACTATTTTATAAAGACTGAAATGTCAGTTTGTCTAAACAACAAACATTCTCCTTAAAAGAAAGGCATTTTACTTTAGTTAATATTTATGTACCTTTTGTGCCCACTGTTACTGCAGTCCCAGTAGAATTCTGAATGATGGGGCACAGTATATCGTGCAGTTTCATCTTCATTTCCTTAAAACATTTCTTTATCTTACTTGCTGTGGTTTGTGAGTTCATTCTAAATCAAAATCTTGTATATTGTTTCATTCAATTCTGAAAACATACCTGATTTTTTTTTCTCTTAACATTTTTCAGGTATAACATCAGAGATAAAGACACATTTTTTGACAATGCTACCCGCAGTCGAATAGTAAGTAAGCAAAAGTAACTTCTTGCACGGAATGAGATTTAATAGTGTTGACTACTTTGAAATACCATCATTTTATTCATTTCTCTTTTCCTATAAAGCACTAAGCAGTTAAGTGTAATATGAGTGTAAGCATATATATGTGAGAAATGCTCTGCTGAAGCTACACAGTAGTCCATATAGCTTGGTGAGAGTAGATACTGTGGAAGGATGTACTGCTGACTCGAGACTATTGTTAAAAGTTGTCATTAAGTCTTACTTCCTGCTGTTTAGTCAGATCCTCTTCCGTGAAAGTGTCTCCTCTACAGTCCTATAGTAATTTACTTGCTCTGGTAGTCTTTGATGAGAAACCTTTTATCCTGTTCCTGATGTTCTGTTTAGTCTCCAGAGGGATATCAAGGCAGGATTTCTCTTTATGGATGCTATGCAACTCCTCTCCAGCATACTATGTTTTCCATATGCACTTTGGCTTCATAGATACAGTGTATAACAGTATATATCCTGATTACTTCAATATGTAGCTTAATGTTATACCTCCAAATCTGATTTTTTTTTTTCTTAAAGTTGGATTATTTTGTGATTTTTCTGTAGTTTAAAACGCTCATTATACCTGAACTCCTTACACTTCTAATGGTTTTGTAAGACTGTGACACAGCAAAACACAGCCTCTACATTACTGTCAGAAAATCAAATAGTATGAATTGTTATATCGCTGTTAAGTTTTAACTAGTAACTGCAACAGAAGTTACTAATTCCTGAAGTTTCATTCTATTGCCTCCTCTGTGAGGAAGATAATTTTAAAAGACAATTTTCAAGTTATATCACTATTATTCTTTTTCATAGGTACATGAGATTTTGAAGCGCACTTCTACAAAGACCAGAAACAGCATGGGTAAGAAGGGAAGATAACCATGAATGTCCTTTTAAAAGGAATTGCTTAAGTATCTCAATGAATATTTGTAAAAAAACAGGTAAATGAGGATGCTGAAGAATGTCCTTCCAGAGGGTTTTATACATCAGTGTCTTAAGACTGCCTTTGCCAAGAATAAAAGCAGGGTAGTTGTCATAAGAGACTCCCTTCTGAGAGGAACAGAGGGCTCATTGTGCTGTCAGGTTTACTCACAGGGAAGTCTATTCTCTTTGTGGCCCAGCTTAGGGAGGGCACTAGTAGTGTTCCTAGTCATCCTAGTTACTAGCTATTACTAGTTAATAGTGGTAGTAGTGGTCCTAGAAAGCAGCAAAACTGATTCTAGAAGTTCTTCATGATACCAAAGTATCATTGGGAAACCAATAATAATTTATACAAAGAAGTTGACCAATTCAACTGGTGATGAGATTCTCTGGCTGAAGACTCTCCTTCTCAGGAAGTGACATTTGTCAAAAGACATTCTTCCTTCAGAGGCTAACCCTTAAATAAGCCCAGGACCCTGGATCCACCCCTTACAGTTACAGGGAAAGGGCAAGTAAACTGCATGCAACTGATCTTTCCTCCAGGCTAGCCACCCCCTTCAGCAGGTATTCAATCATCAGTATGTGTCATGATGTAACAGTTCCCCTACACTCCACCCCTTCAGCATGAACAGTGATTCACACATTCACATACTTCAATTACAATATTGAACCAGTAGTTCTTGTCACAAAGTAATTAAAAAGATCTGATAATTCAGCCATGACATAACGGCATGAACAGTGACTGAACATGTTAATTTCAACTACAATATCAAATTGGTAGTTCTTGTCACAATGTGTATAATCAATGAATATAAAGATGTTATAAATATGAAATAAATCAAAGAGTTTGGCTAAGCTGGTTATAATAACAAAAATAATAGACAGAATGCTTACCTGTGTCCTGGGCTCACTATAAAACTCTGAGGAGGGATCTCCAAAAGAGATCCTTTCCCACTGGTAGTCAGCTCTTAAATGGGTCTAGGAGAGGTGGAGCCAGGATCCAACCCTTCTGGCAGCAAAGGTGAATTGCCTTCACCTGTGCTCCTGTGGCTGACTCATGGCTTGCCTTGGGTGATTAATCAGAGGTTCAGGCTGTAATTCAGCAGTTCCCATGCACTCCACCCCTTCACGCCATGAACCGATGATCAGGTTGACTAAAGGCTAAGCTTTTCCTAATACAGAGATCCATTATATTGCAACACTTATACAGTTTCCATCTTGATGCATGTTGGTAAGATTCAAGATGAGTGATGATTGGTGAACATTCATAATCTTTTATGGGCCAGTGCTCAGTGATGTTACTGGAGGCATGCAGTCATGAGGTGCAGGTCCGTCCTATATTCCAGACCATCACTGGGTGTTGCACATGACAGTAGCACTGGAACGCTCTGTTGGCATTTTGTTACTTCCAGTGATCCTGAAGGCTCAAAGACTCACAGGCAGTGATACAGATGTTTCAGAGGTACCAGAAGGGGAAGGTATGGTCTCCAGGGCAAGATACAGGCCGTATTTCTATCTTGGGTCAACACTTCAGCTTGTACTGGGGCATGTCCTGGCTGCCTGTACCACACCTTCTGGATGGATGTCTGATGCTGCATAAATGTATCAGGCACCAGAAGGGGTGTCCTGATCTGCCACAGGGACATGATGGAGGTCCCTTTAGCGATGAAGATTGGAGTGTTGACCACAATATCAGTAGACCTATGTACCTACATAATACTGAGCCTTCAGCCTCCAATAATATCCCCCAGGGTGCAAGTAGGCCACACCACTTTGGTCCTACCTTCACCTTCCAAGGTCTTTACAGGTACCTGGATCTAAATTCTCGGGGTCAGGTAGCAGAATATTATTTCCATTACAAAGCTGGGGTCTTATCTGATGATCAGTGCCTGTAATTTGGATCCTAAGACCCATGTTGTCTGCAACATTCTCAGGGCACTGGGTCTGCCATCTCAGGGTCTTTCATTCAGGTCCTGCAAGGTTTCATACAGTCTTTTGTCCACCCCTGCAGGGACTGGGAGTCTGTCTTCAGGGCAGCCTTAAGAATACTGTTATAACATTCAACGAGGCCTGCCCCCTTTGGATTATATGGCAGGTAGAATCACCATTCAATGTTATTTTCTTCTGCCCAGCACTGTATGGCTTTAGTTGCACCAGGAAAATGAGTCCCTTGGTTGCTCTGGATGACTTGAGGTGTCCTGTAGGCAGACATCAGTTTAGTGAGTGCCTTGATGGTATGTGCCTGATTTGCTTTTGGTACTGGATAGGCCTGCAGTAGCCCACTGGCAGCGTGGACACAGGTCAGGGCGTATCTCACTCCCTCAGACTGAGGAATGGGCTCAGTGTAATCAACCTGCTGGAGAGGGTTGTGTCCTCTAGCAAGATGGGCTGTTGTTTCAGGCAATGATCTCGGTCTCATCTTAGAGCAACCGTGCAATCCCAGCATGCCTGGATGGTGTCCGGTAGCTGTATGGGCAGTCCCCATGCTTTAGCAGCTGCCCACATTGTCTTCTGCCCTGCATGCCATAGCTTCTGATGTAACCAGAGGGCAATGTTCTCAGATGGTGAATTCTCAATCCATTGAATTCGGGCCAGCATGTCAGCTTCATCGTTTCCTGGTGACTGTAGGGGTTGATGACCAGAAACATGGTAGACACACAGTCCTGTGTCTGACTGTATTCCATAAGTCTAACCATATATCCTTGCCTCAGATTGGTCGGGCATGGATAGTCTATTCCTGGGTGGCCCATTGTGTAATCCATATAGTGAGCCCCTGGTACACAGCCCAACTATCTGTACAGATATTCAGAATCATCACCAGGTTCCTTGGTTATAACCATCCACATGGCTTGCAGTTCTGCCCATTGGCTGCTCTGAACACCCCCTTCATTAAGATTTTTTAACTGCAAGTAGGTTTTTATCTCCCTATTTGATGTGTCCATTAGGGAAGCAATATTGGGTATGGCTGCATGAATAGGTGGTGTGACCTTATTTAATTCCCTGTAATCCACTGTCATTCTCCACGTGCCATCAGACTTTCGCACTGGCCATATGAGGGAGTTATATGGGCTGTGTGCAGGTCTTATAATGCCCACTTTTTCTATTTCCTGCACCGTTCTCGATATTTCATCTTGCCCACCTAGGATTCTATACTGTCATACTTTAGTAATCTGGCACGGTTTCGGCAGGCAAATAGGCCCATGTTTTGCTTGGCCTCTTAATATTGCCTTCACTACCTGGATACTAATACATCTCTGTCAAAGTCTGAAGTCTCCCACAGTTGTTTGGAGAGCAAGACCCCATAGAATATCTATGCCCAGAATGTATTCCTGAACTGGGGCAATAGACACCTTATACTCCTGAGGTGGGAGACGCCAACCCCCAATTTTAACCATGTTTGGGTGATAGGAACAGTCTGTCCCCCAAAACCACCAATCATCACTCTGTCTCCATCAAATTTGTTTGGATCTCTGTAGATAATTGATGTTTCTGCTCCAGTGTCCACTAATGCCATAACTCTATGAATATTTTTTCGGGACCAATAAACTTCAATTCTACATAGGGCCTCCAGTCCCATTTGGAGGCCCTAGGGGGACTAACATCTCTCATCACACCATGAATTGTGCTATGCCCAGTTGTTTCGCTTCCAATGGCTCAGGCATTGCGGTTTGAGACATCTGAGGTGGCTTTTTATTTTTTATTTTTTTTTATTTTTTTTTATTTTTTTTTTATTAGGAACTATGAAATCTTTTAGGTTCCATGTTGTCATTGGTATTCTCTCTATAACCCTTACCCTTGGTTTCTTAGGGTAGCTCTGAAATTTTTGATTGTCCTTTAGTTGTCTCCAAAGCTGGAGAAGGACATGGTTGGGCTGGGGGTCAATCTTAGCATATTGGACTCCAGCCCGAATTAAATCATTAAACATCTGTTTTTGGGAGACCCTTATGGGTCCCATTTGAGGAGCTCGAGTAGCCAGCATCTTGGTTTTAGTCACCAGCAGGACCTTGGCTTCTTCTTATGTTGCGCCTGGTCCACAGGTGTTCTGTTTCTCCTAGGTTGGCCACTAACTGGGTAGCCTGCTGGACTACAGCTTCTGAGGCCACCAGGGAATTTAATATAGAGACCGAAGTACCATACAAATGAGAGGGAGCTTGCTGTAGAATTAAGTCTCTCATCCCTACTGAGAATTTGACCATGTCAGGGCCATCAAATGCGTCTTCATAAATTACTTCTCATGTGCCTAGTTTGCAGATATAATTTTGAAGGTCCCCCATGGAGGACCACATACCTGTATGTAGACCAGATTTATTCGGCCCTGCCATACAGCAGGCCACTATTAACCATTCTATTTTAGAATGGTTTTCATTAAGACATTGATTACCTGCATATAACCACTGCCTGAGAGCAGGATGGACAGTCATGGTGGCCAACTTGGCTACTTCTGGGCCATTCACCAAAACACTTTGCCCCAGAATCCCACAGTCTCAATAAACAAGCTGGCACACTTTCTCTAGGCTTCTGCCAAAATTGCGGTACTAAATCCATCAATTCCGTTGCTGCATATGGCTGGGTTGTTACATGCAAAATGAGTCTGGGCAGGGGGCCACAGGTCAGGTAGCACCCCTGCCGTTCTGTCCTGTACTTTTTTTTTGTTTCCTGAGTTATAACAGGCAAGACTTCTAGTGAATCTGTCAAAATTGGAGATTCGAGACCTAATTTAGATTTTTTATTTTCCTGATCAATGAAGTCCGTTGATTCAGGAATCTGATCATTGTTTTTTGAAATGTTACAAACTTGGCATATTGGAAGAAGCAGAATTGTTTTCTTCCCTGTTAGTATGCTAAGTTCTTGCACTAAATTTCAATGTGGTTTCTCAAAAGTTGGTTTTCATTTTCTGAAGTATTATTCCTCACTTCTGCATGATTTAAAGCATTTAATATT